AGAAGCCGAGGAGGCTCTGGCCGGGGAGTGTGGAACATTGAAAGTCGGAGGGGGCTGTGTAGTGCCGGGCTCCGGCCGGAGGGTGGCGCCGCCCAGCGCCTACGGAAAAAAAAGGGGGGGTGGGAGCTCGGCTGGACGAGGGCGCGAGCTCCCAGCGAGGCGGAGGGGACGCGGGAGACCCCCGCGCGCTGTGGCCTCCCGCCGCCGCCGCCCGGCTCAGCTTCTCCCGGCCGCGCAGTCAGCAAGTTCCTAGGCGAGCGCGGGGGAGGGGCGGACGCGGGCCGGCGCGCGTGCTCGCTACTAGCCTGGCGGAGGGGCGCGCGCCGCCGGCAGCCGGCGGGCTCGAGCTGCTCCCGCGCGCTCTCGCGCGTGCTCTCCGTGCCTCCCTTCACCCGGGGGGTGCAAGCGTCAGCCCGTGCGCGGCCAGGACAAAGAGCACAGTGGGGCCCCGACAGGCTGGCCCCTGCCGGCCGAGGCCGCTGAGCCCGCTCCGCAGAGGACGGGGGCGCGGGCGCCGTCTCGCGGGGCTGCTGTGCCGCGGGGTGGCTTCCGGCCTGCGCCTGCCTCCGGGCGGAGGCTGCCCATTGGGCTACCCGCCCCGCGGGCTGGGGCTGGAGGGCCGTTAGGGCAGGCGAGCTGAGGTCACGCCCATTGCTGGCAACGTCCCCTTAACCTGCGTAGAGGCCGGTGTGGACCCTGGGGCCCCAACGCCTGGGCAAGCGCCCTGAGCGCGTGGCTGAGAGTCCCCAGCTGCCCCTGGCGCTGGGAGACTGGTAGGTGTTGTTAAGGAGGCCAGGGACGCAGTCAGAGGAAAGCTGCCTCTTCCCCCTCATATGAGCAAGAGGAAGGGGCAAGATGGGGCCCTGGACATTGAGGGGAGTAAAAAGGTTTCCAGACTAGAGGACCAACTTCTGCTTCTCTTTGGTCCTCAGCTTGCAGCTGTCGCTCCCAAAGGGGAGGGTTGAAAACTTAAATCCAGAACAATTTTTGAATGTCCTGCTGAAAATTTTTAAAAGTGGGAGAGAAGCTTGGGGGGAGGGGAGTTGTCTCAGGACTGTTCAGAATCGCATGCCAGACACCAGTTCTGGAAAGAGTGATAAGAGTCAGGGTGTCCACCAAGAAAAGCTTTAAATGGAGATAGTGCAGGTTAGTTTTGTTCTACCATTTTATCTTGTAGAGTCTCCAGGTGGACTCTGCAGTTTTTGCCCCAGGCACAAAGTAGTCAAAGTACAAAAACTTCCTGTTAGCAGCCCAGACCCTCTCTAGCTACTGAGAACTTGTTGGAGTGATGGAGTCTTAAAGGAATTTGTGGATTCTTCTCCCTCAAGTGTCCAGGAGTTGGGTGCTGGGAGAATGTGGAGTTCACAGAGGGAGTGAGAATGGCAGTCCGAACAAATAAACGAAAGTTAAAGGAAAGAAAGAAAAAAGACTGAGTGAGCCAATATATTATTTTTCCTTAAGTATTTCCTCATTTTGCTTAAGTTTTGGTAAAAGGTTGCTCACAACTCTGTCCAGTAAGTTACATTTCTGTCATTTTCCAAAGACACGGAACTTTGTTGAGGGCTACGCTGCTAGGTGCTAGACACACAAAATTCACTCATTCAATTATTATGTGATTAAGATCAGGAACTAATCATTACAGCTTACCAAATTGATAAGGAGGAAGGATATTCCAGTCAGAATGAACAGCATATCTCAAGAAATGGTAAGGAAAGAGCATGGCATGTGTGTGGACAAGCATTTTGAGTTAGCTGGACCAAAGGATACTTGTAGGAAGAGTTTTTTTGTACAAATATAGACAGAAGTTTCGCCCAACTTTGTGACACTTTGTAACTCTACAGCAAAAGCTAGCTAATTAGGAGTTTGAGCTTTGCTCCGTTTGCTATGGGGGACTATTAAAGGAAAACTGTATCAAAAGTGGGATGTTTTAAGAAATATCATGGAAATAACCTGAAGGCCCAAATGCTCTTAGGATTTGGGCATGGCAAGGAGATAAGAAAATAAAGATATGTAGTTGTATTTTAGTGGAGCATCTTCTGCAGAAGAAACAGTATTGGCTGAAAAGCAAGGGAACTAGATTCTAATTCTCATTCTACCATTAGTTTGTGTAACCTCAGGCAAGTTACTTGTTCCAACTTAATATTTCTTGTGTGTAAAAGGAGATTGTATCAAAGGTTCCAAGTCCCCTGTTGCTCAAAAATTCCATGATTCTTCAACGAGTTTGAAGTTATGGCAGAAGTTCCACTCAACATTCACTCAACGGTATGCTTCCAAAAAACCAAACCAAACCCATTGCCATTAAGTCAATTCCAACTCATTGTGACGCTATAGGACAGAGTAAAATTGCCCTATAGCGTTTCCAAGAAAGCGCTGGTGGATTTGAACTGCTGACCTTTTGGTTAGCAGCTGTAGCTCTTAACCACTGCACCACCGGGGCTAGGAACTATTAAATGCTGGAAAAATCAAGCGAAACATAGGTCCTTTTAATGGGCTCACAGTGTAGTGAGGCAGCCAGAAATTTTATTAAAGAAGTGAACAGAACGAGAATGGAGAATTATTAATTATTAACTAGCAATGGAATTACTGGAACCCTGGTGGCACTGTGGTTAAGAGCTCAGCTGCTAACCAAAAGGTCAGCAGTTAGAATCCACCAGCTGCTCCTTGGAAAACCTACAGGGCAGGTCTTCTCTGTCCTATAGAGTCACTATGAGTTAGAATTGACTCGATGGCAATAGGTTTGGTTTTGGTTTAATGGAATTATTAATTCAGCTTGTGATATGAATCAAAAGAAGTAATAATGACCTGGGCCTGGAAGGATCAATAGGTGATAATATAGATAATGCTCCTGGCAAAGTCCTGGCACATAGTAGGTGTTCAATAAATACCAAAAAACAAAGCAAACCCACACCATCAAGTCAATTCGGACTCATAGCGACTCTCTGTATTGTAGTTACTATATTGTTAAAGCCACCGTAAAGAGAATGAATGGCTCCGTAAGGGTAGGAACAGGAGCAACCTGCTCCCACAACATTAGGTACCCAAATGCCTTCTTTCACCTGACTAATGTGGTCCTTCAAGTGGTTGATCACAGCTGTCCTCCAAGGTAACATGACATCACCACTTTGACCAGAAGTAACTCATAAGTTATGAATTATTTCTAACCTGAAGTTCTTGTCACAGGACACCCTGTTCTGTAATTACCTCTATCTTGTTTTTGCCATATCCTTGAAATCCTTGGCACAGTGGTTAAGGGCTCTGCTGCTGTCTTAGTTATCTAGTGCTGCTATAACAGAAATATCACAAGTGGATGGCTTTAACAAACAGAAGTTTATTCCTCTCACGGTCTAGGAGGCTAGAAGTCCAAATTCAGGGCACCAGCTCCAGGTGAAGGCTTTCTCTCTTTGTTGATTCTGGGGGAAGGTCCTTGTCGTCAATCTTCCCTTGGTTGAGGAGCTTCTCAGTGCAAGGACCATGGATCCAAAGGACGTGCTATGCTTCTGGTGCTTCTTTCTTGGTGGTATGAGGCCCCCCTGTCTCTCTGCTCCCTTCTTTTATATCTCAAAAGAGAGATTGACTTAAGACACAACCTAATCTTGTAGATTGAGTCCTGCCTTATTAACGTAACTGCCTCTAATCCTGCCCCCTTAACATCATAGAGGTAGGATTTACAACACATAGGAAAATCACATCAGATGACAAAACGGTGGATAATCACACACTACCTGGGAATCATGGCCTGGCCAAGTTGATACATATTTTGGGGGTACATAATTCAATCCATGACAGCTGCTAAAAGGTTGATGGTTCAAACCCACCAGCTACTCCTCAGGACAAAGATGTGGCAGTCTGCTTCTGTAGAGATCACAGGCTTGGAAACCCTGTGTGGAAGTCTTACTCTTATAGGGTCACTATCAGCCAGAATCGACTCGATGGTTTTATCCTGGAAATTAGGGATCGTATTTATAGGCACTCCTGGGGATACAAAGGTAACCTAATGCAAATTATTCCATAAAGCATATAATTTTTTTCCCACAAGGCCCCTCAAAATAGCACCACAAAGCAGACACCAGCTACCACAAGGTTTTTCCCTCTCGGTCTTCTGTTTTTCTCTTATTGGAATGAGGATCCTGCCAACTTCTTGCCCTGAAAGAGAGCCAGTGGTAAGAGAAAGGATACTAAATCCAGTTGCAACAGATATCACAATTACCTCCTCTCCCCTTTCCCACTAAGTGTTGTGACTGAAAGGGAACTGTTCTTAAAGGGTAGACTGGGCTCTGGGCAAGGAAGGCCCTAGAATCCTTTGGGTCTCTCTAGATTGGGAGATGCTATCTCCTGAGCTTTTCAGTGGATCTCGTGTGTGTGTGTGTGTGTGTGTGTGTGTGTGTGTGTCTACAGAGAAATATAAAGACAGAAATAATTGAGTTGC